TTTCTGGAAAAAAAATAAATAAATAATCGGTCTCTAGCACATCTAGAATCCATTTTATGTTATTTTAAAGTTCTGGAAATCAAGGATATTTTCTATTTATCATGGTGACCATGTTTTGCCCCATGTCAGCAACCACAAACGAGGTAAAAGGCTATATATTTGGTCTCAAATTAGAAAATGACAGCTAAAATTACTGTTTTTGACTAACATAAAGTCACACAGTGCATGTTTAATTGAATAAACACCTTATTTTTTAAACAATCATGCAAAATTTTAGATTCTTTTTCCAAAATTTGCCCAAGTTAGGCTAAAATCACCAGCAAATTTCAGCCTAAATTCTTGAATATCTTGAGAACAGCAAAGATTTACATATCAAAGAATACCATTTTTGAAAAATTCAGGCTGAGCTCTATCTGAATCTTTAAAATCCATGAAGTGATTCTTAGCCAATTTTTCATAAGCTCCAAACCAAAATTCATGACATCAGGCCACATCATGTCTCAAGAACAGACATTTTGGATTAAAGCTAATAACCTAATCTAGTTCGTAAAATAGAATTTTTCAAGTAATTGTTACAAAATAAGGTGTGCAAAAGTTGTAAACATCATTATGTTCATATATTGATTAAACTATCCTCATAAATGAGTTTCAATGACCTAGGATCTTGTATGAAGAAAGACAGAACAGATCATTTACTCAATCACATCAATGAATTTCTTCAGAATGAATGCCCCAAGCTTTCAACAACTCAGCTACTTGGTATAGTGTTTCAACATTCAATCTGGAAAGGAGATTGCACATATAGGATAGGAGTTGTTCACTGAAACAACCAATGTGTATCACTCAATTGAAGTCAATGAAGCAGTTGCATTGATGGGACACTACATCACTCAGTAAAATTGATTGGTCAGAATGATGGGTATGGTCTGGGGAAATTGTCTGAAGAGTGTTTGGAAGCAAACACTGATGTCATGTCCAGACTTCTTGAACATTCTGATCCAGTCATATCACATGTAATCACTCAATGTTAGCTGAAGAAGTACTGTAAAAAAAATGTGGTGCAACTGATCACACCATACATTCTCATTCAAGGATGTTTAATCTCCCTAAGAAGTGGTATATCAGTCTTGTTGAGGACATCTTCATTGATTAAATTCTCATTGAGTTTGTTATATAAAGGATGTATAGAGTTATCGTCATTATTATTATGTAACAATGAAATATCTAGCATTGATTCTGAACAATATCTTACTTTGCTTTCAGTCTCCATGGATACCTTAGAAATTCTAGTCATTAAATTCTTGTCTGTTTGCCCATCTCTCAAGATGTCTCAAATGTGTTGTCAGTTATTCTAAATTATTTATTAATGATTGTTAGTTTGAGTTGAAATCAAGAAAATGCTTATAGGACTTTGTAAGGTCAAGTGGAATGTAAAATATGATTTTTCATATATGGGGACTATTATTATGATCCTACAAAATCCCCCAAAATTAGTGTTTTACATGAAAAAAGACCATTCTATCATTTCAATATACTATATTAGATAGAATTAAGCCATTAGGTACCTTTCCAAATAAAATTTAGTTTCTCATTCAAGATTTGCATTCGATAAAACTATTTCTAAAGTTTCCCAATCAGGGCCCAATGTGAGCTCATTCAATAAAATCAGACATTGAATTCAGACAAGTATTGTTACAACATAAGATACGTAGATGACACAATGCTGATAGGAGACATGGAAAGGAAATTACAAAATCTCCTACAAAAGGTAGTGAAGGAGAGTGAGAAGTAGGGACTAAGCATAAACTACAAGAAGACAGAATGCACCAGTAAAAAGATGAGCCTAAAATGTGATTTACAGGTCGGGGGCACTAAAATCAAGCAAGTGGAGAAATTTAAATATCTGGAAAGTGTTCCAAAGATGTTTTGGGATGGTCAAAGATAGATTCCAAAAGCTCAGCAGAGTATTACAAGACGGGAGGATTTCATTAGTAACAAAGAAAAGAGTACTGTCCACCTTTGCAGCAGTGAATGTTGGACAGTCTCCTCAAAGATGAAGAGACTTGAGGCAACAGAGGTATGGTTCTACAGAAGGATGCTAAGGATACCATGGACCAAACATGTGAGCAATGATGAGGTTCAGGAGAGAATGCAAACAATGAGGAAGCTTATACTTAACATAAGGAAGAAGCAGTTGAAATTTCTGGGACATGTAATGAGAAAGGAGGGCCTGGAGAAAAGACAAAACATATTGAGAACCACAAGGGATAGGGGGAAGTGGAGAGCCATGATTGCATATGTCCTGAAGGGACACAGCACATAGAAGAAGATTGTTCCCATTTAGAGTGATTAAAAGCAGAAATCAATGAAAAGTGTCAGGAATTGTTCAAGCAGAAGGGTACCATCTTGCATAAAGACAACACCAAAAATTGGCACAGCTTGGCTGGGATGTCTTATTACATCTGCCATACACACTTAACTTTCACCTTACCACTAATTTCAATCCCTACAAATTCTCTTAATGGGAAAAAACTTCAATTCTCTGGAAACCTGTAAAGATGACAGACCAATTCATTACCCAGAAAGATGGCATGTTCTGGAAGGATAGAATCATGAAGCTGAGGGTAAAAAGCGGGTAAAAATGGCATATATGTGATTAAATAAATCTATGTATAAATATCTAAAGACTTCAAACTTCACTTAAATGCTGCAAATTGTTGTTCCAATCCAATAAAATCAGCATTTGTAAGCAAGAGCAAAGTCTACCTTGGTAAGTTCTGAGGCAAAACAACAATTTTCAGTTACATTTACCAGCACAAAAAGGAGGCTATTCTTCACATGTACTGATGAGTAAGAAAAAATATATTTATATTAAGAGATAAAGATTTGCTAAATATGAGTTGCAGGATGACAGAGTACTGGAAAATTCTCAGTCTAACTAAAAAGCTTCACTACACTCAACATACTTGTGTGCCATTTTAATAAAAAGTGAATATACTTTACTCAGCTGATGATTCATTAAAAGTACCATAATCAACTAGAATTAATATACAGCTGGGGTATTTCAGTTTACAACCTTTTCTTACTAAATATTTAAATAATATGGGATATACAAACCTTAAAATAGAATAATATATAAATAAAAGAAAATGAAGTTGAAATTAGTTAAAATATAATTTCTATAATACAGTTAAAGTAAAAATAAAGAGTTCTGATTTTTAACATGATGCACATTTAGTCTTGCTAAAGAGATTTGTGAAATAAATTCTTTTTCACTTTGGTGAAACATGCCAAAGTAAAAAATTTTCAAATTGTCTTACATATTTACCATTTCATCAGATTCTCATCCAACTTTACTCACACATCCAGTATTTACTGATAATTATCAAAGTTGTTTTTAATTCTAGCATTAATGCTAAATTTTTGTGATAATGATTTGCATAAGAGTCTCATGAAAAATTTACAGAGCATCTCTAGGAGGTAATTAAGTTTTCCACCACCTTAACAAGTTATTGAACTCACACTCTTTGGGTCCTGTCACTGGATCTAACTGGAGAGGGGAATTAACAGGAGATAACTGACATCCATTAGACATGGCACATGGAACTAGAACAGTCTACTCCAGCAAGCGAAATGAAGGGTTCAGGTCGACATTCCAACCACTTGAAGAAGGCCGGAGTGTACAACGGTCGAAATGTTGTGATAAATATGGCAACAAAGATGAGGATGATAGTCCAAACAATGTAAATAGTGTACATAATACCTCATCTCAGAAATATAGACATATATATTTGTTGAGAAAGAAAAGTTTGAACAGTGACAACTTAGATCCTCATGCATTAACAGAGATTGTATCGTCCATGTCAACATGAAACCAGTTTATCTTTTTGATGGGAAAAAAAATGCATGCAAAACAAAATATTTAAAAGGTGTTCAAGTAAAATGTCTTTCTAAAAGCTTTTCATTCATTTTTGCTGACATTTGTGAATGCTTTGATATCCCTGACCATAACCAACATACACATATGGAGGAAAATATGAAATCTGAAGAACATTTTTTTTTTTTTTAAATTCCCGGAAATGCACATCCTACAATGAATACATCTCAATAAATGACCTCCATTTTTATAACTGACAGAGCATATACAATAGTTATTTCTTGACCAGGATTCATGATTAAAGAGGATTGCTTTCTCTTTCCATTTTGTCTTAGTGACAAGATTACAGGTGTTAATATAAGATGTACGGAGAGGCATTTTCCCCACTTTTGTTTTTTCTGGTGACCATTTTGAGGTACATACTTCATAAGTATTATCAACCTAAGGAGACAAACAATAATTTAAAACAACAGCAGCTGTAAATGCAAATGTCTTACTTATGTTCTTTAGATATGTTAATTTCATCTTGATTTTAGAAAGTTTATCACTGTCTGGAGAAGCTCAAAAATTTTCTTTAGTGATATCTATTTTAAACAAAACATTCAAATAACAAACTTTAATTGTGACATAAAAAATACATTTTATTAAAAAGGAGTAAAATTGACAGAATGAAAGTTTCTTAATATTTCCCAGACGCATCAATTTAAATTTTATTAGAATAGTGTAAGCTCAAGTAAATACATGTACTTTAAACCGTTTGCCAAATTTTAACTTAAAAAATGCTACATATACTCTTCAAGGAATGAAATTACTGTAAAAAATTCTTTTATGATAATGATAGCCAATGTCAGTTTGGAGGAGATACTCAAAAGCGGCTGCTGCCAAAATAGAAAGAGAAAAAATAGCTATGAATAAATAAACATAGTGATGTCAAGTCTCCAAAATAATGATTTATTTAATTAGCAAAAAAGACCTCTCACTAGCTTATATTTTTTCTTTTAATACTATAATACTTCAGAGCTCAGAAATAAGCTATCCATGCTTCATGCATCTGCTGAGGCAAAGCAAAGACACCAATTAACCAACTCTTCTTATATTAGTGTAACAAAAAAGCCCAACTCACCAATAGATTCCAGGCCTGCTTTCTCCAATCCTTCTTTGACAGATTGTTCTAATTTCTGCCTCTCCTTTGTAGGCAGCTCTTTTTCTACATTAGCAACTCCTCCAGATTTTATTTTTGTAACCCGAACTTTTATCCTTGTTTCTGCTTCTACAAAAATAATCAAGAAAATAAATTTACTTTAAAAGAGAAAATAAAGGAAAATTTGGGTGCAACAAAATATCCCATGCATAATTTGCCACAATTCAGCCTTGTGCTAAGTAAAGCATAGTAAATATTACAATATGAACAAAAATTTTATTGATATGAAAGCAACAGGTATCAGCTTAATAAATTATAATAATAGATGGTTGAGTCAGAATTTAGAAAGTGAGACATTGTTTATCACAAAAATACCTTTAAAACAGCAACTAAATATGGTTAAAGATAGAGAGTAGATGAGCAATCATTTATTTCTATGTATAACTATAACCACTTTCTGACAATTGTATTCTGTGCAAATATTCCATTATTGTAAAAAGAACTGCACATCACTTTTTGTCCACACTCATTGAATGCCAATTACAGAATGTCCATTATGGTTTATAATTTATCAGGGGATTGGTTTCGTGCCTTTCTGAAAGCATCAAGTTACTGATTTTACAATATGTTACATTCAGAGAAGTCATTGTGATTAACCAACCTTTAAAAAAGTAATGAAGTTAAAAAAGATAGATTGCAATTTCATGTAGATTTATTGTTTTCATTCATAAATCAACCAAAATGTACCTGGCTTAATTGTTAGGTATTTTTAAACTTTCAACAATTCTAAGGATTATCGAGATTTAAATTATTTTATTCTAAAATTCAACTCTTACTATGAATAATTATTTAAAAACTTTATTAATGCATATATTATAATGTATATCCAAAATATTATTTCTTTTTGAATATAAATGTCTATAAAATAAAAATGTTTCACCTTTCAATGGAAGGTTTTTTTCATCCGAATTCTGCATTGTAACAGAATTTTTTTCCTCCTTTTCTTGTTCATCTTCAGAACTGTTATCATCTGATTGAGAGGTTTTCCCACTGCTTGGGCTTGAAGTAGACATTTGGTCAGATGTCAATTTAGATTTTTCAAATATTTTTTTGTGTTCTTCTATTGCCTTGTCAACAATTTTCAGTTCTAAAAAAAAAAAAAAAAAAACAAAAAAAAAAACAGATTTTCATAACTAAACAATTTAAGAACAAAAAGTCACTGTAAATGTAACCAAGCTGTCACCAAACTATGCCTTTACATTGCTAAAGACATTGAAATAAATTATCAGTTAGATCTTAAAAAATGTTGAGCCTAAAAGTCAAGACAAAATACAGACAAAACATATACAATATACATTTCAAACTGTAATTCTAATACTATGGCACATAGATCCTATGTTTGCACAATTCGTTTGGGGTTTTCTGAAGCAAGAAAAAAAATTGATAAGATTTTAATAATCCTTTTCTGATAACATGTATACATAAAGGTGAATCAAATGTTACCATAAACTATAATTGATGATAGATTGCAATTTAATCTTGATTTGGCAGTCATTGTTTAGTTCAAAATTTGCATATTTAAATATAATATAACTTTCTGAAAAATTAATCTATAAAAATAAGGTTTTTACGCACACATATACACTCACACACACACACCTCTTGACCACGAAAGCAGATTTTTAAAGCTGAAAGTATTGAATTGATTAATAAATATTATTATTGATCTTAAGGGAAGGGAACAACATTTAAAATCTAAATGATTCATGGTAAACAAAATGAAGAGCAATAAAACTTGTAAAATACAAACCTTATCTCCCCCCACATTTTTCTCCACTGTATATATTCTCTTTTTCTCTCTCTCTATATCTGAAACTTTTCTCTTATTTATTTCACTTAGATATCTTTATGATTCCCTTTTTAAGTTCTTTTCTAAAGGATTTTTCCCTTTATATCCATTATTAAAACATACAAAATTGAAGTTCCTGTGAACAAAATGGCCACTAGCAAGACTAAAGTCGAAAGAGCAGATACTAACACATTTTCTCAATACAAAAATTAGTATTATATCAAATACAGAGATGAACCAATTTAAGCTTAATTCACTTCCACTCCAGCAGGTGAAAAATCTGCCAAGAGATACTGTGTGAAAAAAACTAAAATTACTTGAAATGTAAAACTTCTAATTCTACTTTAGCAAAACAAATTATATTATTTAAATCACTTCAGAGCATTATCAAAAGCTTTTCACACACACACACAGGGTCAGAAATGATTGACTGATATTCATGTACCAATAATATGAATGATTTTATAATAATTAGCTTTTATGTAACAGTATTCAAAAAATATTTCAACTTTCAGTATTTTCTAATAAAAACAAAAAAATATATAAATACCTAATTTTATGTTATAAATTTGGAGTGCATTAACAATAATAAAGGTTATGTAAAATCAAAAATTATTTATTTGTGGACTATAGAAAATAATTGTATCTAATCACTGTCTCCTTTTCTACTTATCTTACTTATAAATTCTTGCTCCCATTTTACAGAGAACCAATCCACTTCAGTTTTGATTATACTCATACAAATATAGTTTGAGCCTATAAGCAGATATCTAGAACTCAAAACTAAACATGCTTACAGTAACAAGAATGACTTATAAACTAATATTTTTTTCAGATAGCAATGTTCTTAAAAATAGTGAAAAAATTTAAAATTAAAAGCTACTTGTCTGCAAAAAGTTCATGACCTTGAAGAAACATATTGCCAGATGAGATGTTAGTAACATATAAAAATTATCAGTATACATTCAGTATTTTTCTACTGATTTTACTAACTCTGCTAAATTCCTAAGTTACAATGGATTTATTAACATTTAAATACATATATTGCTTTGTAGTTATATCCAATTTAATTTGAGAAGGAAAATGATTTTAATCAAATTTAAAAAAAAAAAAGATAAATAATTATAATACCCTTTTCTGTTTTTTCCAGTTTATTTAATAATTTAAGAGTATTTGCCAGTTTTTTGGTTGCCGCAAGTTGATTGACTCTCTGTTCAGGCTGGTCTTCTAGCAAAACATCAGCAGCCTGAAATAAAAATAACAGTTAAAATAAATAGTTATTTAATCAAGTTTCTTTTATGCTGAGATCATGTTTAATAAATTTAGTTCTCAATTTATAAATGATTTTAAGATAGCAACACACTTTTTAAGTCACTAAATGCTTTTCTGTTTATATAACTGTCAATCCATGAAACTATGCATTTACCTGTTTATTAGCCAATAAACATGGATTCATTTGGCTATTGTCTACCACTTATCTATCAAGCTATGTATCAAATACACTCAACCTTTAACTGTAACAATGTGACTATTTAAACAAAAGTTTCATTATCTGGCCATAAACATGGCCCACTGCAGCTTAATAGAAACAGAATTTGTAGAATGGGATCATCAGATCCCTAATATATATATATATATATTACACACAAAGATGCACAAGTCGGCAGTACTAAAAATGTTCTCAGCCTAACCTACATTGTTGGCCCAAGAACTTTTCTTCAGAAAATATATTTACTCTTTAATCTATCCCTCCTTTCATCAGGATATTTCAAGATATATACATACACACATTTTGTATAGTTGTTATTTTTTAGCAACCACTCAACACAAGAGATACACCAATGAAGCAATTTTGTGGGCAAACCTGAAATATCAAATCTATAAAACCAGATGGTAAAAGTAGTTTGTTGTTACAATTTCACTTAAAAGATTGTTTCAAAGAAAATTACTGTCTGTATGAAAAGCCAGTCTGTGGAACAATGACCACAGACAATAAAAACAATAGACATGGGGAGAGGATAAAGAAGTAGTGACCAAGTGTGTTGCCAGAAATGCTGCTACTCAGGATGTGAATAATTATAAAATGCAACTCATTAGTCTGCTTTGGTGTGCAGCCAAATACAGAAGAAAAATGGTATGGAAGAGAAAAATAGTGGCACAGGTAATATTTTATATTATATTATCATGTAGCATAAATGCACAAATTTTCATCTTATGTATTAGTTTATACACATCCCCTTAATTTTAGAGTTAGTTTTGCTATGAAGTACTGGAAATGTTTCACCTATGGCTAAATATATAAAATTACAAACTACCACACCACCTGATAACTTATTAAAGTCATTTTAGATAATTAAGAAACATCTTAACAGTCAGGACCTGTGAATATGTAATGAAAAATATGGTAAATTCATACATTCTCATTAGCAAAAAAGAATCTATTAAAATTAAGACAGATAATGATTACTAATGCATTCCTTCATTTTTTTCAGTTCATAAAAAAAAACATTTCATGTGTAATCGAAGAAAGAAATAATAAAACAAAAACATTTTTAACTTTAAAAATAGTTGATTAAATTTTTTAATATCTTTATTAAAATTTGTTTTTTAACTGAATGTTTTCTGACAAATAATTCTACAAAATATTTTTTAACAAATCCTAAGTTTACAATATATTACAAGCCATAAGTTGACAATATATATTTTATACAAGTCTAGAAAATAATTTAAGAAATGACTGCATAATTTCCCAAAATCTTCCTAAATTAAATACCTATGATAAAAATATTCATATTACAGAGAAAATAGCTGTGCTGTTGAATTCCTCATCCCAAAATTAGTAATATTTCGGGCATGTACCCACAATGGATACCTTTTATGACGAGTTCAGTGTGATATAATTTTGACCTGTTTTTGCCAGACAATTTGTGCTTCTGGCTGTTTTTACAGTGTAAATGTGAGTTTCTTCGTTGATGTAATACTAAAGAGAAAAAAAAAAATTAGCTTCATCACTTTCGTGCTATGAATTATAGTAAGAAGTTGCAATGCTGAAATGAAATTTATATGAGCAGTCAAGTATTTTGTTTTTGAGTACACAATTTTCCCCAATTTTTAGACTGGTCAGATCCAATAATTATCAATTCAATTCATATTATCTTTCTTTACTTCACTACTACCCCTATATGACATTACACATGATTTTTCACTTGCTTGAAACCTGAATCTCCAATTATACATGGTTAAAATTGACTTCAGGCCTCATAGCACATGAGATGGAAAAGTTTTGACTAATTTTGAATGTCCATAACATTGTTGCTCATTAAGCTACCAAGATAAATTAGGTATTAGTTTTAGTTTTGTATGTATGTATAAACATTCTAGATACTGTCAAAATACAATTTTAATTTGGGATACCTAAAATTATGCTGCAAAGAATTATTTATCAAACAAAAAAAAGTGTTTGTGGGTCTTGATGACTACTTTTGTTTCTATAGTGTATTAATGAGTGTTATCTCCCACTCTTATGTGATGCATTTCTAATTCTAGATTTCCTTCCAGAAAATTGAGAAACTTGTTACTGAATTCAGAGAGAAAGTAAGCTATTATCAAAAGTTCAGCCTCAATGTCAAGTGATGCTTTATTATTCTTTAGCTTCTTTTTTTTATAGTTATTTTATCTTTGTCATCATTGCATAAATTGTTATTTATGAATTGAGATAGATTTTGTACTTCTTGGATATATACTGGTATATATTCTATTTCCATAAGGATCTTTACCTTAGTAGGGCCAGGGTTAGGTTGAAATGTGATTAGAAGTGTTTTTTTTTAAGACCAGGAGATTACTTGCTTTGTTTTCGATTAGATAATGTTATGATTTTTTTTTTTTTGTCCTTCTCTACATTTCAACACATTGACTATGCTGTTTGGTTTTATTAATTTGATTTCCAATTTCCTGAAGATATTGTGTCTCTGAATATTAACTAGATCTTTTATTTTCTTAGTTAAATGTTTAATATTCTTCTTTCCATTTTTTCTTCTGTTAGTTTGTTTCTTCTATAATTGTTTTAAATGAAAATTATCATTCATGGGAGTATTTTTTCCTGCCTAGGTATTTTTGGAATCATCTTACATGCTTCAGCTAAAGAAGATAAAACTAGATTATTTTCTTTCTATGTTGTTTTGGTAAAAATGGCAGGACATCATTTTCAACTTTAGTTTGACAGAATACTACTCTTAGATTTTCATTTTCAAGGACTTAAATATTATACCTTAGATGTCTTTTGTGATTTATGTGAACAAGCTATTTTTTAGTTGTTGTTGTCAGTTTTGATACAAGTAATCTCTGATCAGATTCAAAGTAGGTGTTATATATTTTAACATCCATCATAAATCAAGAGTCCAAGATGCTTAAGTCAATAATCTTTTTGTTTACATTATCTGGGCTATTCCATGCAAACCAATGTTTCATGGGATGGTTAAAACTATGTTTAAAATGGAATATCTTTTCAAATACCAAAAATTTAACAAGAGTTTCCCATTGTTGTTTGAGGCTTTGTTTCAAAGGTGAAGTTTTCTTCCCATCGAAAAAGCAGTGGCATTCAAAAATACTAGAAATTTTTTTTATCTTACACAATGATTAGTTAACTCTTTTCTTTTTTTGAAAACACTTTTTTTTCAGTCATGGCATAGGGTAATATCACTTGGATTTTACAGTCATAAACAACTATGTCAGCAACCATCAATCTTTCTAACGGGCGTAAGATATTGTCTATTACAATATCTAGTGACTTGTGTATTACAATTCCAATTGTCTTTTCATCTTCAGGCTAGTCCAATATGAGGGTACTGGATCGTCAGTTTTTGGTTAATGTATCCAACTGGTAGTAAGGAGCTCAAACACTTTGGTAACACTTAGAGAAGCTGCTCTGATCAACAGGCGCATAATATCAGGGTATTTGCAGTGCCATGTCATGCATGGATAGGTGTTTCCACATGTATTTCCAGTGGGCAACCCTGAGGCCACATTATGCTTTAGTCATAGCCACCTTCTGGTCAGTTTATATTGCCATAGATGATAGTGATAATTATTTTGGCCTTTTCTCTTTAAAGCATAATATTATGACAGATATGTTGAAAAGAAAAAACGAGTAAACAAAAAAAAAAAAAATCAACTACCACCCTCAACCCTTCTTTCTCCAATATTTGTGGTATTCATTCCAATTCCTGTAGTCTAGAATATTTTATCTTGACTCATTCTCCACATATCTTAGCACTTTCTATAACTAATTTAAATTCTTCTACCAATACCAATGAATTCCGTTCCAGAATATCTTCCACTGTCAAAATGATTCGAGGATACATATGCATGGCCTTGGTGTTTATATCTGGGGAAAATCTTTCAGGTGCAAGGGTACTGTCTCTGAGGTTCCCAAATGATTCTTTCATGTGCTTTTGACTTTCTTTATTGCACTCTATTAGCTATCTATTTTTCCTTTATCACACTCCTCAGGACTGTAATATATAATATACAAAAATGTCGGAAAATATAGAAATGGCTCTCTCTAAACTTTCATTTGCAAACATTTTTGTGTTTGGTGATTTCAATGCTCATCACGTCAAGTGGCTTAATCATTCTAACGTTAATGATGTTGCAGACTTTCAATTTTTCTGTTACTCAGTCTCTCACTCAAATAGAGGATTTCCCTACTCATTTCTCTAATAATTCTTATCAACACGCTTCTTTATTTCATTTGTTCCTTACCTCCTCTCCTAGTTCTTCATATTGTCACTTTATTAGAGACACCTCCTTGGACTGATATTCTTCCTTCCTATTGAGAATTATGCCACAAATGTTTCTTGGGTTAAAGCCAGCATTAACACTTTTGTACCGTCTCAGAAATACCAGGTGAAACCACGATTTTCCCTTTGGTTCACACCTGCCTGTTCAACTGATATAGTCCACAATAATCACTTCTTTCAGCTGTAACAGCATGATAGTTCTGATCATAACAAATGCTTATTTGTGTCTGCTTGTAATAATTGTAAACATATCTTCAAAGAGACTAAGTCTTTGTTTATTGACAGAATAAGGCACCATATAGCCTCTAACAAGTATGGTTCTTGTGACTACTGGCAGTTCTGTAATAGTGTGTTAAATAAGAGTATCCTCCTTACTTTCGCTCAGAATGTTTTGTTTATAAATTCTCTTCTAATTCTTCTCTTCACTCATATGGAACATCTTTGCCTGACTTTTCACTTAGAACCGAGTCTCGGTTGAATGATATGTATATAATTCCATCCATGGTTTCTGCTATCATCTCTAAAATGGATACCCACAAAGCATGTGGACTTGATGATATCCCTGTAATAATCTTTAAGAAATGTGCTCCTGAACTGGCTCCTGTTCTCTCTAAACTCTACAATAAATGCCTTGTTGCTTCTTGGAAATCCTCTTATGTAATTCCAATCTTTAAGAATTCAGGTGAATATTCTGATCATTCTAGCTTATTAGCCTTCTACCTCTTTTTGGCAAAGTACTAGAGGTTCTAATTGGTTAAGCATATCCTCAGAGGGTCATCTTTCAAATAAGTAATACAGCTTTTGCTTCTCTAGGACAACCACAGATGCATTAACTATTATTGCTGAAATAGTCTATGAAGCTTAAGATAAGAATAGCTTGCAGTCACTCTTGAAGGCATTTGGCAGAGTGTGGCATGCTGGTCTTCTTCACAAGTTGAAAGGTTATGGTATTTCTGGACAAATTTCTAAACTGATTCAATCTTTATTATCAAATCACAAAATGAAAGTTGTCTTGAATGGTCACCATTCTAGATATTTTTGCATTAATGCAGATGTGTCCAGACTCTTATCCTTAAACTTACATTATTCTTAATTTTCATCAACAACCTTCCTGATGTCATCAGTTGTCAATTCAGTATCTATGCTGATAACTATTTACTCCTGTCTTAATAGTAAGTTTGATCATTTTGATGAGGTCAAATTGGCACCTAATCTAAAAAATGACCTCCAGTTTATTGTTAACTGGAGCAAGGAATAGCATATGTTTTCAGCTGACATGAAGTGAAAAGATTATAGTCAATCAATTGCTAGGTCTGCTGCTAAGAAAGTTAATTCACTGTGTCATGCTGGACAATTTTTCTCTCTAAAATCTATCTTACACATTTATGTCTACTACCATTTATCCATGCATTGAAATTGCTGCCACATCTGATCTGGTGCTTCTGGTATGTATTGAGAGATTCTTGATAAAATGCAAAGAATTTTCAATGTTATTGGTCCTGACCTGGCATCTCAGCTTCAATCACATTCCCACCACCGTAACGTAGCTTCCTTGTGTCTTTTCTATAAATATTTTTTACAGTAATTGTTTTAATGAGCTTTCTTCTTTAGTACCTAGACCTTATGAATTTAGGCACACTACTATATTGGCAACAAGATCTCATTTTACAGTTGAAATGGCTAGATGTAGCTGTAAGTTCTACGCTAACAGTGTCTCTTATAACTCTCATTTGTGGAAATCTCTTCCAGCTTCTTGCTTTCCAGTCAATTTTGATCTTCAAAAATTGAAATGAAATGTCAATCATTATCTTCTGTTTTCATAATTCCTCTCCTTAATTTTTTTTTCTCTTAACTATTGTGTCTTAGTGGCTTTATTGCCCTGATTGGGGTGAAATGATTAATAAATAAAATGTATCCTCAAATAACTTGATCCTAGTTGGATTTTTATTTGTCACATTTTCCATTTTAAAACTTTATGGTTAGATTTATAATTATAATAATAATAATAATAAACTAATTCTACTTTAAAATAAAAAGAAGTGGCCATCCTGTTTTTTTTTTTTTGCAACTACATGCATTAAACTTATGTTATCATCTTCCAGAATATTTTAATAAACAAAAAAAATGTTGACCAATCATAATGAATTGAAAAATTCAGTCTATCCAGCAAACTATCACTAGATAAGCAATGGTGAAAAGCCCACCCACCTCACATGAGCAAAAGTCGAAATTTCAGTTAACAAAACATTTAATTCAATACTATCATTTAGGCAGACAACTGAGCAATTATTTTACTCAGATATAAATTGCTCAAACTTACAGTCAAGCAGTCATTTGACCAACCTCCATTGACCCAATCATTAATTCAAGACTCAATCAACCAATTACCTGATCCTATTCTTTGTGCATCTTTCTACTTACCTCTGTCACCAAATCTTTAAATTGTGCCTGCAACACAGACTGTAACTTCTCTTTTGTGCTCACAAAGTGCTCTTTTGCTTCAGCAATTTCTACAAATAAAAAGAAATAATGTTAAGAAAATAACCATAATAATGAAGTAGAAAATCCTCCTCTTTAAAAACTCAAAAAATCTAATTCAATAAAATTCTTTGATTGATTTCAAGTTTCAACTAGGATAAATATTTGGATCTCTGTTTTTTCTAACTTGCACAAAGTCCTTTATTTGAGAAATTTTGCCAATGTTTAAAGTCTAATTATAATCAATAAAGACATCAGAAAGAAGACTGAATAGACATGCCTATAGAATGATTTTAATTTAGAAAATAGTATAGATATGTGTGTGTTAGAGAAAATGCTGAGATGGAAAAACATGAACAAACTGAAATAGATAGAAACTGTGCATTTTACAACTAAAAAAATATTCAAACAATTCATTTGGCAGTTATAATAATTTAAAATAGCTGTATTTTTTATCTTTTTGAATAAAACACCACACAGAGCAGAAAAAAAAACTTCCCGTATTGTGTGTGTGTGTGTTACACATTTTCAGTTTCCAAAATTGTTCTGTCTCAGTGAATTCAATGATTAAGTTCAGTGACAGTATTAGGATTCTCACCAATACAAAAAATAATAATACAGTATTTTAAAATATATACAATTTATATAATTCCTAATTACCCTCAAAGTTTTATTTTCTTTATAATATTGCTACAATAATTATTGAAGAAATTATGACTTTATTGCCTTTTCCAGAAAAAAGGCTAAAATAACATTTATAGAAATATTTTAAATTCATAATAAGAGTGTTCAGGGAGTAATTACATAATTCATAGCAATGAAATATGTATCAACCAACCAATGCAAAACCAAGGTGGAGTGGTAGGAAACAGCAACTAGAATTAGATTATCATCTCTTCTCTCCAACAATATGCCATTTATGGTGGATCTCAGTGTTTAATTACAAAAACCTAAGAGAGAATTTGGAATCGTAACACAATGTTCTACCATCTGCAACACTCTTTTTAAACCAGGAATGCCATCAGTTAATTTTTTTTACATTGACAAAATGAAAAAGACAATGGTCATCACCAAAACCAGGATAGCATCCACAAAAATTTTTTGCTCTGTGATTAGTGGAATACAAAAGGTGTCATCAATTATTATCTATTGGAACATCACCGCAGATATTTATTGCTAGCAACTTGATCAGTAAACAACACATTATGCTGAAAATGTCCTACTTTTGTAAACAGCAAAGGTGTAATTCTCCAGTATGGCAATGCAAGGGCACACTTTGCTAAACAAACCAAACAAAAAAAAAAAAAATTATTAGGATGAGAGATCATTTCCCATCCTCCATACTCGTAAAGAATTATGTTCTTTTCTAATTAAGGTGGTATTTAATTAGAAAAGATGCGTATTTTTGTGAGCAGGCACCCCCACCCAACCTAAACTTAACCTGACTTTGTAAGTAACATACACTGCGTGCCAAATAAATTTCTAAAATGATAGGGAGGTGTCATCAAACAATGAAAAGTTCACCGCCGACTCTACACAAGTACACAAAAGGGCAGATAAAGGCAAGCGGAGGGTTATTTCACATCGTCTCTTGTCACAACTTAAACGAGAGGCCACAAAGAACCCTGGACTTACCAGTCAAGAGCTTTTCAGTCGCATTGGGGATCCTACTGTGTCTAAATTACTCGGTGCCAGTATCTGAGGGAAATAGCAACAGTCAAACTTTTATTGAAGCCTCCGTTGACGAGAAATCACATTCAAAATCGATTGAAATGGGCCGAGGACAATATGAAGATTGACTTCTCTAAAGTTTTGTTCACAGACGAAACTCGAGCAACACTTGATGGGCCAGATAGATGGTGCAAGGACTGGGTAATGAACTGCAGATCAGTACAAAAATTTCAGTGATTGCGCAGATCAGTGTTGCCAACATTGTGTGAAAATTTTGTGTGAATTAATTAGACGGTTTTTGAAATATTAGAAAAAAAGTTATCTTGATAATAATTTGGCACGCAGTATATATTTGATACATAAGTTATCTAGGAAAATTAAAACCCAACCATCCCTAATCAAAATAGATTGAATTTTCCTCAACATTAACAACTCAAAATGTTAAGATTGTCTGCGCTTATAAATTAAGTAAATTTCTTAGAAAATTATTCCTAGCATAATGGAACGAAACTCTGGATTCTAAGTTTAATTTTTACAGTTTTAGTTTCAGTTTTGAAACATAGAAATATCTGTGTCATGATGGAATCATATTTTTAAAAAAGAAAAAATTATAATAATAATAATAATATATATATATTTTTAATTTTGATAAACGTGCAATCAATTTACAAATTCATGAATTATTCACACAAAAACAAATGCAAAGGTTAATGATTTAATTGGCGAAAAATCCATCGTTGCAAACAATTCAAATAATATACAAAAACCTCCGAATCCGTTATGAAAGAATTTTTTACTGGTAAATTTTCTGTCAAAGTGGCATGAACTATATTGTTCAATAATTACAGTAATGTCGCACTTATTATCCAAAAGTCGCACTTGGATCAGTTATTTTAATTTCGATAAACGTGCAATCAATTTACAAATTCATGAATTATTCACACAAAAACAAATGCAAAGGTTAATGATTTAAAAAAAAAAAATTTGTTCATCACCATATTTGTACATGAACGCACAACTGTAAAAATTTAAAATCAAACTCAGCGTTGCTATTACACGCTCAAAAACAATAACTCATTTCCAATAGCATTTTCGGATACAACAATACATATATTTTCGTTGTCCTCTTATTACTAAGAGAAAAAAACAAGAACAACATCTATTCCATACCTGAAGATGTCTGTAGGAACAGACGAAAGCTTGTAGTAAAATAAGAACTAATGCGGCAGGAATTTATAGAAACAAGGATCTTTTCATTCATAACGGATTCGGAGGTTTTTGTATATTATTTGAATTGTTTGCGACGATGGATTTCTCGCCAATTAAATCATTGACCTTTGCATTTGTTTTTGTGTGAATAATTCATGAATATATATATATATATATATATATATATATATATATATATATATATATATATATATGGTACCACACCATTGTATGAGATCAAGTAGATTTTTTATTTGTAGGTTGACACGTTCTAAGATCACTTTACTTATTCTACTAATCTTCAATCTAATTGGATTAATAATTCTAGTAGGTAATTTACACTGAAATTCAGGTTTGTGTTAGTGGTACTTCTAAAATGATCGATTGGTTCAAGAACATTGAAGACAAGAATTGTACTTTCATCCAATTCAATATCGTGGATTTTTATCTCTAAAGACCTTTTCCAATTAGTATTGAAATTTGCTGATGTTTATTCAGACATTTCAAAGGATGAAATTAACATTATTTTGAAATGTAGAAGATCAGTCTTCACCCACAATAACAGTGGATTAAAAATTTGGTTGATTATTTCAACATAACACTGGGATCAGTGGATTCTGCAGAGTCTTCTGATTTAGTTGGATTGTTCTTATTGTACAACCTCATAGCATATGAAGATATTGATTTAAATAGTATAGGACTTTATAGGGACAATGGTCTCAGGGTTGTTAATAACTCTACTGGAATTAAAGCTGACAAACTTACAAAATTAATCCATAGAGTTTTAATATCTTTTAATCTTAGTATAATAATTAATTCCAATATCAAACAAGTTGTTTTCTTAGGCGTAACTTTAAATTTAGTTCTCGATAATTTTCAGCCGTACATGAAAAACAATGCCAACCCAATTTATATCCACCCTATCTCCAATCATCCACAGTTTATAATTCATCTGTTGAACAACGTATTAGCCAACACTCCTCTAACAAAGAGATATTGGAAAAACAAATGGTTTAAAGAGATAGTGGGTTCAGATCTTCTGAAATTAAGTTTGTAGAAGATTATGGTTGTTCCAGAAAGAAAAACAGAAACAGGAAGATCATATGGTATAAATCTCCATTCAATCAATTAGTTCATACTAAATTGGGACATAAGTTTCTTAACTTAATGGATAAACATTTTCCTAAAAGTAATTCATTAAGTAAAATCTTTAATCAGAATACTCTAAAACTTAGCTATAGTTGTACTAATAATCTAGAGAAAATATTGAAATTATATAACAATAATAATTGTAATGCTAATAGTGATTCTAATTTATCTTGTATCACCAACCTATGTAATTGTAAAAATTCCAACCAATGTCCTTTACCTAACAAGTGCTTAACAAAATCCTTTGTGCATATATGCTCTATTTCATCAATTGAAAATCCCAAGATTGTTAAAATATATATTGGGAGTGCAATGAATACCTTTATTAAACGTTTGTATAATCATCTTTCATCCTTTACTAATGCTGAGAAATGAAATATGACTTCACTTTCTAAACAGTTTTGAAAATTGAAAGACGAAAACATCTAAAGTTAAATGAAAAATTCTTAAACAAGCCAGAATCTGTAAATCCATGACTGAACAGAGTTTACTTTGTCTACAGGAGAAAATTGAGATAATTAAACTCTTGAATAGCAATCAATTATTAAATCAGAGATATGAAACTACAGTGAATTGTAGGCATATTAAGGAATTAACCTTACAATCTTGCTAAACTTTCTAACTAAATAATCACTCTTTTTATGTTATATTATGTTTATATAAACATTTTAATGTTATCCTTAGTGGTTTATTCTTGATTATGATATCAAATAGGTTAGTATTTGTAAATTACTGGTAGTAAGGTTAGCCGTGAATTAGCTTATAATTATTTTACTTGTGATGTTGTTTGAGAATAGTTTTTAATTTAATATAAATATATAAAAGTCAGATAATTGTTTAAGATTTATTATATAAAAGTCATATAAATGCTTAAAATTTAATTTGTATTCAAATATATAATGTAAGGTTGATATGGTTAAGTAGTTGTTTTGTTTGTATATGGTTTTTCTTCTTAAAGTGTCTTATTTACGTACTGTTTAATTTTGTTTGAATATGTGATTTCATTCAAAATGTCAAAGTTTGAATTGCTACATTGTATCTGTAATGTTTCCTATCTTGTCACATTATATTTCCGTTCAATTTTGAATTTTCCATCTTAACGTGTTCTCATTCTCATTGGCTAAAACTGGTATCAACTTCTCATATCTTATTTTCTTCTCTTTCCTTTTCATTTGTATCTGTAAAATTTAGATATACTCCTCTCCTTCTTTTTCCTTCCCTTCTCTTTGTAGTAGGGTTGATTTCTTATGCCTTTTCTTTTTTTCCCCCCTCCTTTTTTCAATAAATTTTTTTTTTATATATTTGTTTCTTTGCCTTCTATGGAAAATTTTCAAAAATGTAAAAAAAAAAAAAAAAAAAAAAATAAAATAAAATAAAAAAGTGATATTTCATAAACTGTATTTTTAAATAAAATCATTTATTACCACCATTTTTAACCTCCTGACAAGACATCTTTAGACATCAAAACAAATATGCATTTTTGTTGCAGTAACTGGCATGTTCCAATAAAATAATGTTATGAACATTTGAATTTATATTCTTTTCATTCTTTTACATTTGTGTGTGTGTGTGTGTGTGTGTATATATATATATGTATGTATATATATTTTACACATGGCAAAATTGCTTTATTTAGATCACCAACTTTTATAAAATCCATAAAGAGTTTAGGATATGACAACCACCAAACATAGCTGAAAATGCCTCCTACTAGGCATACACAAATATACATTACCCCACATAGTCAGTCAGTTATGTGCCATGTGTGATACACACTTAGGCGATCATGTATCTTCGATATCTGACTGATAGGACAGATTTTTCCCACAGTAGGTTGCCACTCCTTTCTGCGGTAGACCAGTTGCCATCCAAGGCTATAGAACCCAGTCTGTCCTGCTATTTACCCATAGCTGGAAGGAGAAGAGGATTCATAACTTTCCCAATGGTATTAGCATGTAAGTGAATGTAATGGATTCAATATTCACTTAAATCTCACATAGACAAACAAGAATTATATATATATATATATATAAAAGAAAAACAGATTTATAATCTACAGTTCTTTAGCATTTATTTTTAAAACCAGTACTCGATACACATTAGAGCATAATATTATTTTTTTTTAAATATATATTCATTACAACATAGAAATGACCATGTTTTGGAACTAATAACTAATCTTTAACTTACAATTAAAGTTTTTGTTCCATTCTCAAGTGATGTTGAATAACTTTCAAAAAAATAATTTTTTTAAGCTAAATAGTATTATATAGTTTAATTTGGGATTTTCTTAAAGGGGCCTCAAATATGATTAATATTAATCTACGCCCAGGTTTTTTCCCCATTTCACCTCTCTTAACAAAATTAATGCTCTCACAAAGAAATGTACACAACAGATTCATAAAATCAAAAGAAAATGATTGAATACATCAACACAGATATAATGACAATATTCTCCACACGTGACAAATACTGACATTATTTTCAGTTAACAATATGAAAATAGTGTTCTCTACATTCCAGTTGCTAGGAACATTCCGTTTTTTGTTTTTATTAGTTACCTTGTTCAATTAAATTCATTTCGTAGTTTGCTTTGATAAAGTTCACATTGGATGAAACGCGTCAGCAATTATTAGTTTTCCTATTGTCATTTTTATTCATAAATATATATATACACACACACACACACACACACACATAGCATTCAGCCTGGTGTGCTATGACTGTTCAGCCACAGAGAACTTCTGGTTAAGCAAAGCTCGAATTACTGCTTTTAAATACGCATCTTTGTTGATCTTTCCCAATCTATCATGTCTGCTCTGAATTTGTAACTTAATGTAAACAATCATAGCATATATATATATATATATATAAATAAAAATAAACGCACACCATTATTACTTGAGATGTATGTATAAATCTACAAATCTTTGTAGTTTACAATTGATTAAGGCAATATGACAGACCTTTATTCAGGTTACCAGAAAATTCATCATCATTATCATCTATTATATCCTTCTGAAAATCAACTTCATTCCTGTCCAAAATAAAAACAGAAAATTATTCATCAAAGCTGTGAAAGTTTCTCATGGAAAAGTCTTTAAAATGAGAATGAAAGTATTTTTCAAATAAAAATAGCATTAAGCAAACAACAACAGGTACATTGTTACATTTTGCTATAAAGGTAACAGACCTTTCATTTTTTTGTCAATGAATTGGAGTATTTTCTGATTAACAAAAGAATCTACTGAACTGTATCATCAATATACCCAAATTATTTGGTTTACATTACATAAAAACATTAAAATATATGTAGAAATATTTTAAAGGAATCATATTTTTGGCATACATTATGTACTGCTATAAATATAGTACTATAAATATGTATACAGATGGCAAACTACCTCGAATTATTACTATTATATTTATTTACTATGGACAGTGACAGAAGATAGTGTTTCACCACATGCTTATCACATTCTTGCAACTATAAGCATGCAAGAGGTTTGGATGCTAAGACAGACATTTACTTATAAAAACAGAAGACTTACTTTAAATAATCCACTTTCAAGTATAATTTTGATGACTGTAATCCTAACATAATTAAAACTGTAATCATTTTGATCTTCATTTCACTTTTGATAAGAATACACAAATTATTTAGAGACACCAACTTTATTGCACAGTTTTTCTCATATTTCTTTAAGTTATGACAATTCACTGATGTTAATTTGATGCTCATATTATAAAGATGAGGATAGAAATGTTACTCAAAATCTAACAAGACACATTCTTTCAGTGTTGGAGAAAAGTGCTGCTTATTTTTTTTTTTTTTAAGGTAGAAATAAGAGGACTGTTTTCACAATCATTTTTTAGCACCTCATTCCCTTCTGTTTATGTGTACATATTACATTTTAAAGCTATGCATCTCCTCTTTAAAGGTGCTTGAGGGTTTTTTTTTCTTCTATGTAGAGTATTGAAGAAATAAATTTATAAATGTGATTTCCGTATCATTATTTGCTAGGAGTTTCAACTGACATTGCACAGCTGAAACCAGCTATAATTTCAACGGTACTTGGTGTCTTGCAATACTTGGCATCAGTTTCAGAATTGTTGATTCTAAAAATTAATTTCTGGTGATCTGGTTTTCCAAGATGAGCTTGATTGTAGTCACAAGCCATCATTTGACAATGAAGAATTGAGAGCAATCATGAAGACTCATCAAGAAACACTCAAGTGTCAGGAGAAAAAAAATGAATCTTGTTGTCCAAACAAGAGTCAAAAGATATTTGGCACAAAGTGCAGAAGTGGGTAATCCATTATTTGATTGATGATCAGCAACTTGCACAGTTTGACATTTGCTGCAATTTGCTTATTTAAAAAAAAAAAATGACCATTTTTCTTGATAGTGTTCTTACCAATGATGAAAAGCGGTTTCTGTATGATAATTGGAAATGTGGCTTTCATTGAATTGACAAACTTACTAGCCACTCAATTATACCAAAATCAAATCTTAACTCCAAAAATATTCTCCTGACTTTTTAGTGATCCTCTAATCCAACTTGCAACATGATCAGACTATCATGGAAAAGTCCAGTTAGTATTTGGAACTGCTGTATCAAAAGTTGCAAGCATTTTGGCCACAAGTAGTGAATAGAATAGGAGCAGAATTGACTGTAGGATAATGCAAAACCTCATACTGCTTGTCCCACCTGTTAAGTATTGACACAGGCATTCAGATACTGTACCACTCACACTAGATCTTCTTAATACTAATTATCATTTTTTTTTTTTTTTTTTTTGAGGGGGGATCTTAGATGCATGTATGTACCAGCATTTTCCAACTATACTTAATATAAATATTTATAAATACTTACTTTGTGGGAAAAGCTTTGGATGTTTCCGTGGTAATAATCGAAGATTCAGTTCCTAGATCTTCCAATGTTTTCACATTATCAGTTTCATCTTCATATGATGATTCTTTCACATCTCCCCGATCAGATGGAGACACACGTGACTGGTCATTCACAACTGAATCATCATCTGTGAACAAGCTTTTCCCAAATGATTTATCAGGGGATGAAGACAGACCTGAAGACAGCATCCCTTTAAATACAGCAGTTGCTTCTTCTGGGGAACTGGTTAGGTGGATTTTCAAGGATTTACTCAAATCTACAGAAGTTAATTCCTTTTCTGTAAAAAATAAAACTAGACACCTGTGAAAGTGGTGAAGAAATAGTTACAATATCAATATGAAAAAATAAGATAAACCCCTTTTATGATTAGGCTTACAACGTTAACTGCTTACTTAACAAAAATCCATCACCACAGGAAGACCAGAACCTACCCATAATTCTCTTTGCAAGAAAAAATAATACTGCATAACTGCTAATTATCAATTTCTTCTTAATTTTTTTTTTAATGCAAAAACAATACACAATAATCAAAACAACCTATTAGCAAAAGCAGGGCTTGAGATTAATGTCATCTCATCATACTGGAATGATAGAACATTAGGATGACTGGTTAGGTTTTTGGGGACAATGCTGTGCCAAGACAAAATTTTTAATTAAAATTCTATTGTATTTATTCTAAAAGCAACTAATTTCTTACAATAATTTTGTTTTTACTTTTCACCAATTCAGGTGGGTTTTAATAAATGGAGCATACACACAGACACAAACAAAATTTTAATGCTTCCTTTTAAACTGGTGAATAAAACCTGAATAAAAAAATGATGGTTGAAGAACTTGAATTTAGATATTTGTGCTAACTCTAAATGCAAAAAATATTCAGATCTACTTGTAAAAAAATAATTTTGCTTTTAACAAAGCAAGAAAATTACTTTTTCTGTCAATTTCTGGTTAAAAAAACTTGGAGGAACCATTAACAAACATGGGCTGTGTTTTTTTTGCTTATCATAAACTGAATTAAAAATATGAAGGAAAATTTTAAAAATGATAAACATGAAAGGTAAATTCAAATTTTTTGATAAAGACAAAACTGTTTTTGGATCATGAATAGTTGGAACATTATAATATTCTGTATAGAAAATGAATGCATACAGCACAATTGTTAAAGTATGATAAAAGTAACTCTGAGCATAAAATTAAAAACAATCCAGGTAAAATTATTCAAGGTGATTTAAATTAAATATTTAAATAAAAATAAATGTGATCTTTTAAAAAATACAGTCAAATTTAATTTGTTTTTGTATTTATTCATTTTAAAAATTTTACTATTTTAGCCTTAATTTATTTCTTAAATATTTTCAATGGTGTCTACATTATATTAACAACTATAAATGATAAGGTTTCAAAACATATTATGAATAAATAACACTGGTATTTTATATTTTTATTAATTGGAAATGTTTTCAGGAGACTTAGTTATTTTCCAAAATGATGATGAAAAAAAAAATGAGTCTGGAGCCCTGCAACAGGCTACATTTTCTTAGAAACATGAAAATAGAACCTTGTCATTACAGTAACAAATCTCAATTCAAGTATACATTATGTTAATATATTTGTGAAAAGGTCATCAATTTAGCAATTATGTGATACAAAAACCACTAAACATAAACCAGAGTAGCAAATAAATATTAAGATAGTAGCAAACTAAATGTATGAGGTCATCCCATAAGTTCTGTCCGAATTTTAACTTTTTGTTAAAATGAACGAAATTTAAAGAGTATTTTATAATGTCTAATAGAGCTGAACATTATTTTTATGTTTAGATGCATTTAAACTGATCAAATTTTATTTCAGAAAACAATAAAATTAAATTTTGTTTGATTAAAACCCTGCTAACATGGAAGTACCCAAGAATCATTTGAGGCACATAATGCTTTGAGTTCAAGAAAGGAAACTCAGCAGCTGAAGTGGCTAGAAATATTCACTCAGTTTATGGAAAGGAATATGTGAATGAAAGAACTTGCAGAAGATGGTTTGCAAAATTCAGAGGTGGAGATTTCACCCTTGAAGATGAAGATCGAACCGGATGTCCAGTTGAGTTTGATGAAAAGCTTCTTGAAGCAGCCCTTGAAGAAAATCCTGCTTTATCAGTTGAGGAATTAGCAGTGGTTCTCAGTTCAAACCTTACAACTGTTCATCATCATCATCTTCAACGACTTGGAAAAGTTCCTAAACTTGAAAAATGGGTGCCTCATGAATTGTCTGAAAACAACCTCAAATCCCGAGTTGACATCTCTCCATTCTTGCCAAATTGTTTCCCCTTTTTTGGATAGACTTGTGACTGGCAACGAAAAATGGATCTTTTATCGAAATATTAAGCATCATAGACAGTGGCTTGGTAAAGGGGAAGGACTCCAGCCACAGCTGAGAAGGGAACTTCATGGGCAAAAGGTTCTTTCAATCTGGTGGGATCGCCAAGGAATAATCCATTTTGAATTCTTACCACCTAATGCAACAATTAATGCTCAAATATACTGTCAGCAATTAGAGCATTTGAACCAACCTTTGAGGAAAAAAATACCTGCTCTAGTGAATTGAAAGAGGTGATGTTTCATCAGGACAATGTGCGACCCCACACAGCAAGAATCACGTCACAAAAGGTCGAAGAACTTGGTTGGGAGAAAATTCCTCATCCACCTTATTCTCCCGATCTTGCTCCTTCAGACTACCATTTGTTTTGTAGCTTACAGAATTATTTGTAAGAAACAGCTTTTGTAACACAGGAAGAGGCTAAAACTGACATTTGTGAGTTCTTCGAATCAAAAGAATTTTACAGTAATGGAATTAGTAAGCTTGTTAATAGATGGAAGGAAGTCATAGATAATCAGGGAAAATACATTGTTGATTGAATCTGTAATTAAATGTAACATTTGTTCACTTGTTTTCTTTATTCAAAATTCGGACAGAACTTATGAGATGACCTGATAGAACTATTTTTAAACTATTTTCTACCTGCAAAATAGGGATTAATTAATTATAAAACAAATCCCAACTTAATGACAAATTATCTATAATTTCAATATGTATTAAAAGTGTAAACAGTTTATCAAGTTTGAAGAAAATCCTCAATTTTTAAGGTGTTATGACATATACTGGATTATATTAATATGAATTTTACAATTCCAGTTTGAATTTTTTAAAGATAAAATGTTTCACTAGTAGGGATACTGATGCTTCTCAGAGAAAAATAACTTAAAATATAATAATAGAGGAAAAAATGTTCCTTAATATATTCCTTCTTACACAACATAACAAATGGGGAAAATATGCTATTTACAAATGAAAAAGTAACTTACTATAAAAATATACTGATTGATATTCAAAACAAAATAAATGATGCAGTCTGCTAAGGTTGACAGAGTTTCTGGATATGCAAGATTAGTTCTTCTTCCAAGATGCCAATAGGTAAAGGGTATTAAACCAAAAGAGAGAAAAGTATAGAGAAAAATCAGTCTGAACTTTGTCTTAATGCCTTATTAATGGCCACAGCTGAGTATGAGTGAGAATTGAAATTCAAAGAGGAAGCTTATTGGAATGCAGAGAATGGATATGTCCTCTTTGATACCTACCCAATTAGTTAAGTTAGTTGATATGTGAAAGAAGTTGCTTGACAAATAGGAAAGTCTCATTGCATAATGTTGGACTTGAGAAGAAGGATGACTTAGAAATCTATTGCAACAGCTTTGAGCTTATTTCTTTTACTGTATCATTCTTTGAAGCAAGAAAGTCTCACTCAGAGACACTGCTAGTTTTGGGTCATTTTTTTTAATATTTTTCTCTGTAAACATTTTCATTTTTTAGGTCTACTGTAGCAGAAAGATATATCGAAAGAACCAAAAGTTGCTGGTATCAACTACTCCATCACACATGCAAAAAAACAGTCATCTTCAGCTGCAAATCCAAAAGATTATAAACTTGAAATGCTCACAATTGGTCAAATAAAATTTGCATAAGCTGCCAAGCTATGCAAGAGGTGGAAAACAAAGTTCAGAGATTTTTTGTTTATTTTTCTCTTAACTTTCAGCATGCAATATGCAGGTGTTTTGTTCAGTGAGGTAAGCTATTATTTCCTTTGCTACATTTGCACAAGGTTTTACTAACAAAAGAGAAAAAAAAAATTAAACTTTCTGTTAAATTCTTTAAAATTTCTTTTCTTTGAATTTTTTCAAAAGCTACTTTAATCCAAAATTGACTATTGATTACCTCCAGAGAAAATGTAATTGTTTAGCTGCAATACAGGCCATAAAAGTCACAAAATAATTCTCCATCCAATGACCTCCAAGATTAAATCATTTTTGTATTTCATAGCTTACTCCATTTAGCTGGAAATGGCATGCTCTTCAATGACCTCTGGTGACCTTCACAGTCAATCGCATATAGCTTTGTTATTACTTGAGTTCCTGTGGTTATGCATGCAAAAACTTGGATCCATGCACTTTTCATTTGGTCATGATGCCCAGACATGGGTTAAATGCTCCAACAATGATTGATCAATATTTCAAATTTATTACGAAAAGTTCGTTCACTCCTCATGACACCAACACATCACACCTCCTGAGACGTATGTTTCTATAGTTACCCATTATAGAAATAACCATATCTATCACTGAGATTAAAGATTGCCAGAGCAGAAATATTTGATGGTGACTTTGCAATAAAATCTAAATTCATTTAACAATTATTTATCTAAAAGATAATTCTCATACACATAATAGAAATTATAAAGAAACTCTACATAAAAACAGATATTTCTAGAAGCATGAAATTATCAACAATAAAAAATGTCTGCTGTATATTTTATATTTAGCATGCTTTATTTTCAATTACATTAGCAGCAAGAGCACATGTAGTTTTGCTCATGCAAAAATTATAAATTCCATTCAAATATGAATATGTGAAGAATTAATAATACTCCACTAATTTTTAATGTACTAAACATTTTTTAAACATACAACATTAAAAAAAAATTTTAAGAAATTCATAATTCTATAATTTACTGAAACAGTATTAACTGTAAACTTCTGTTACTTTTGTATGTCTTTTAAAAGTGTAATTTTAAAAAAAAACAGATCGAAATGTTGTAATGTGGATATATTGTGAAATATCATTGAAATAATGAGAAAATGAGAAAATAATGAATATCAAAATGTTTACTTTCTACCATATAAAGTATGAACAAATATAAGAGAAAACTTTACTCTTTATGTTAGAGCAGTAACA